GATATTGGACAAAAATACACATCTGGTTGGAAAAGATTATAAAACAACATATAGACTTAAAACCTGAAATATTTTTGTTAGGGATGATACCTGAAAGTTATAGCAAAGAAAAGAGATACTTAATTATTCATGTATTAACTGCAGCTAGTATAGTATTTGCTCAAAACCGGAAAAGTGAAAAGATTCCAATAGAAGAGAATGTGATTAGAAAAATATTAAATTGTGCAGAAATGAATAAGTTAACACTGGCAATTAAAGGGAAAGAACAAACTGAATATTATATGATATGGGAATTATTGTATCAATGGTTGGAAAAGAAAAATGGAAATTAAAAATTAAATATATGAACATAGAAGATATATATATATATATATAGAGAACATATATGAATATATGAATATTGAGGGGAAGGAGTTAAGAAGGGGATGGTTACAATGATTAGATATGTATACTAGTTCAAAACAAGAATGTAATGTAATAATTGTTGTTATGGTAAGGAAATTATATTAACCACAAATATGCACAATATACCCAGATGACACACTGTGTAAAGAATAAATGAAATGTTTGTAAAATAAAATAAAAAAAGTTTATTAAAAAAAAGAAGCATGGGCCGAAGTAGGTGGCAAGTGCTGCAATCTTCTCAATCTTATTCTAGTGTTCCCAGTTCTTTTATAGTGGTGCTTCAAAGTTTATGCACTTTTTTTAAAATTTTCAATGTTTCTGCACAGGCCCTTTTCCCTACATAGAAACGTGTAGGTTTGGATCATTTTCGTTATCAACTCAATGAATGAGTGTGATGTTTTTGATTCATTTGTTTTATTTGGGTTTTCTCTCGTTTAGAACTTGTGTGGAGAGCAGATCGTGTTTCAGAAATATTGAAAACTTAAAAAGAGTTCATAAACTTTTCAGTGCCCTCTGTACCCTATGCTGGCTTCACAACTGCTACCCTGTGGTTAACTCAGTCGTTCAGTCAATAAATAAGCCAAATTGGCAGGATTCATGCGTAAATCATGATCGTTAGTTTGCAATCCCCCTTGGCGGGGCTCGCTGACGGTGCTGGGCTAAAGACTATCAACAAGCAATGAGGTCCTGGCTTGTATCCTGCACAGCGACATTGTTCAAAGTAGCTGGAGTTATCATGTGATCAGAATTTGGACACTTGGCAACTGACGAACCTATGATGGTTGCGGTGTCCCAGGGTCATGTGATCCAACCTTTTGACAAGCAAAGTCAATGGGGAAGCCAGATTCGCTTAACAACCATATTACTAATTTAAAAATTGCAGTAATTCATTTAACTTTGGCAAGAAAGGTTGTAAAATGGAGTAGAATTCACTTAACTGTCTTGCTTAGCAATGGAAATTTTGAACTCAGTTGTGGTCGTAAGTTGAGTCTGCACCACTTTAAGTAAGTATTCTACCAAAATATACTAATTCATCTACTCACTATAGTTATATATAATTTGCAACTGTTTAATCCATTTTTCTTTAACAAATATGCATCATAGTATCTTCACATACTTCATACTTCATACTATATTTCAATATAATATAATACGGTATATACTGTAATATTATCAGGAAAAACACAAAAGTTAGCTGACTGCTCTTGTTGGACATGGAAGTTTAATGGTCAGATCAAGTCAGTAGTTGGACTGGAAACCACCAGAAAATCTAGAATCTATAAAGTAGACTTGGAAGTCCAAAAAGCATCTTAGAAATTGGCAATAGTGAACCATTTCTATCCTGCACTCAAGAAAGCTATGTGGATGATGTGGTCACAAGGAGCCAAGGGCCACTGTAAGCTGTTTGCCTTTGCAGGGTCAAAAAGAACGAGTGAATGGGAGTCAATTCATATTCCCATGTGGGAAGCACTCTCCCCCTGGAAGAATTAAATATTTTGGGAAATATTAAAAAAAGGCAGAATGTTATATTTCCCTAAAGGAGAAATGGAGAAACATGTTTTCAGAGGCAGAAAGCAGCCCCCAGTCTTTCTTAATAGTCTATAGCAAATGCCAGCACTTAAGGAGATAACAAGGAGATATTGAAAGAGGAAGCCAACTACCTAGATGCCTCCAGTCATAAGCAAAGCAAATACTGCCGGCAGAAGTCCATTCAAGACAGGATATTTTGAAACTCCTTACAGCAATTTCAACAGCTAACAAAAGCAGAATGATAGGATTGGAGCAAGCACCCCCTCACCCCCAAAAATCTAACACCGGACATAGCCATTAGCCACAGTAAGAATTACCCACCATTTAGCAAAAGACACAAGCCCTTTCATTGCACAACACCCCAGAACACTTCAAACTTCAAAGTCACAGAAACCTATAAAGATCACCCACTCATTCAACCATTTGGTCAGCTGCCCCAGAACCACAAACCCTGGTGGTTCTGCTTTTATCAATAAACGGGATCTTTCTTTCTGATCAGCCTCCATGTTATTTCCAGTGTCTTTCTCCCAGCTTGGAACTGAACCAGATGGATTTTTCTTCCAACACCCATTATACAGATAAAGAACCATGAGATTGAGAGACAATGATTAATGGAAGGGCAGCCCTAAAGCATTACATTTTAAATTTTGATATTGTAAAAAAAAAAAAAACTTATCCTTAATGAGTTACTGAAATATTACCCAAAGATCTAATCCATCAATAGAGCCCATCTACTACTACCCAAGTATGTTGTAACAAATATCCTCACTGACACCAGGAAAACTTGAATTCACATCTCCAGGTATGAAGCTTTATTAGATGGGCTTGGTGCTGCAGCTCTTCCTTAGGCCAGTCCACCTCCCAAGACTATTGTGAAAATAAAAAGAATTTAGGGAAACATTAAATGTGCTGTGTTTTGGGTGGGGAGAGATACAGTAAGAGACAAAAGTTGATCATTGACCTAATTTGAATCTGTCTGTCTAATCTATGGATCCAACTAGCCATTCTTATATAAAGAGGACTATGACTTCTAGTAATAGAAAGGTCTTGGATCTAATGTATTCATGTTGTAATGCACAAAAGCAAGTAAAGAGAAAGCAACGCGAATCCCAACCTGTGTGGAAAGACTTGTTCCTCATTTATACAATGAGTTGTCCATCACCAAGGTAACTGGCAACCTATGTTCTGGAACTTTCTTCTGTGACATCTGTTCAGAGGCAGAATTTAAACGTTTTCAAAATTTAGCACCTTGTGCCTGGGTTCACAAATTGTGCTCTCCGGCTTGTTTTACAGGTAGTCCTCGACTTATAACAGTTCACTTAGTAACCGTTTGAAGTTACAATAACAGCATTGAAAAAAAGTGACTTATGACCATTTTTCAGACTTTATGACCATTGCAGCATCCCCATGGTTATGTGATTCAGATGCTTGACAACTGGTTTATATTTATGACAGTTTGCAGTGTCCCGGGGCCTTTTGCGACCTTCTGACAAGCAAAGTCAGCGGGGAAGCCAGATTCACTTAACAACCATGTTACTCATTTAACAACTGCAGTGATTCACTTAACAAATGTGGCAAGACAAGTCATAAACTCATTTAACAAATTTCTCACTCAGCAACATAAATTCTGGGCTCAATTGTAGTCATAATTCGAGGACTAGCTGTAATTACATTCACACAACATGCTAAAACATGTTAACTATGGTTAACAATCTGCAGGTGGCCCTTGCTTAATGACCTTGTGTTTAGCAGCTATTCAAAATTCTGATGGCTTACAGCTGGTCTTTGCCCTTAGAAGTGTCACAGCATCCCTGTGGCTGTATGGTTCACAATTCAGTTGCCGGCAATTGTTGTGTTAGAACGATTGCAGTATGCCATGGTCAACATGATTGCCATTTGACCTCCAACAAGCAAAGTCAGTGGGGAAGCCTGCAGGAGGTTGCAAGTCATGGTCATGTAATGCCTTAATGATTGTAGGTGGTTCACTTAAGGACTGCAAGTAGAACTGTTGTTGCGACTTGGTGTGGTCACATGGTGTGGACACAGTGTCTGCTTCGCTTAGAGGTGGAGTTGCCTGTCCCAATTAGAACTGATAAGCGAGGATTACTTGTATAAAGATTAGATCTTTTCTTTTATGTACACTGAGAGCATTTACACCAAGACAAA